GGAATATAAACATCAGGTCAACAAGCAGCAAAATCTTTGCTGAAGGATTCCCAAGAAGTCACAAACACAAAGCACCACACAGACAGCACAGTGTCCCCAAAGGCTGCTGTTTCTGCAGTTTGTGAGAACCCTAACATCTTTTAAGAAAAGGTTAATATGCTAAAAACTTTGAGGATAAGGACTCATCAGAGCTTGGCTTAGGGAATGTGCAGTGCAGAAAGAGGGCAAAGGACCACAGGTCTGCCATGTGAGTCCTGGTGTAACACAGCTCAAGTGCAACTTCTAACAGCAGCACCATCACATGTTTGTCAGAAACAATAACCTCTTTTTTTGTTTCCTTTCACACCACCACAGTACGCCTCATCACCTGCCTTCAAATAAAGCCCTGAGAATCAGCGATTTCAAAACTCACATTTCTAACCATTCCAGATTAATACTGTCGCACGGCACAGTCAAATCTGTCAGCCTGCTTCAAGCTGCTCAGCACTCAACTTCAGCTCATGACCCAGCTTCTGAATTACTTTGAAAGCTCCCAGATTCGCCTTGTAGGAGGAGTGAATGGAGGGAGGCCCTTACTGCCACCAAATACCCGAAATCATGAGAAAAGGGGCAAGGGAAAAGTAGCTTAGCAAAATCATTCAGGAAACACTCAAAACCGCAGAGAAAGCATTATAAAATTGTTCTGCATGGAATAATACTGCACACAGAAATGTGAACGGCCCAATTTTAGCTTCTTGTCGTCCCTACCCTGCCTTTTATTTTTGAAATCTCATTCTGTCTGGGTTATGTCAGAAAAGATGTATCACCAACCACCCTAAAGTAGCTTATGTATTTTAAAACAGATACTGAAATGGCATTATGTGTTATTTCCCACCTCTATTTTGCAATGGGAGTCTTCCCCAAAACTAATGAAAGTATCTACAGCACACCACAGCAATGCAAGCTTTGAGTTTTTCACTTCAACTCGGAGGAAAAAAAACCCCTTATTACAAAGTGCTTGTTAATACAAGATTTAGAAATAACTTTTGTAATACTTGAGCAATGACAGCTACTCACAATTTATACGTCTTATCTAGCAGTGTATGAGCATGTTTAATTTAAAGCAATCAGCTGACTCCTAACATTCAGCCTTTCCCTTACAGATCATTTTTAGACCAGCTATAAATCTGACACACAGTGAGCTATTAAGAAACTAAATTAGCGTTGCTTTAGCAAAAACACTTGGCCTTTCACTGCTTTGAGATGGCAAACTGCAATTCAAAATCCATTCTGTCTGTATCAAAGTTTCTTCTCATCTACCTCCCTCCTTCCCTCTTCCCTCCTCCCAGAGCACTTACAAACAAAACTCTCCCCAGCGGCTTGTACCCTGCCTGAGTTAAAGCACCCAAGTCTGTGTATTTCTCATTACAGACACTTCGCTCTGCTTAAGAGCTCTGAGACACACAGAAACTGTACTAAACCATCTTTTTAATAATTTTATTTTATTAGTTCTTACAAAAAAAGGTGTACCAGTAGACTGAACGTGTCACTCGCTGAGTGCACAAGCTGCAGTGCCCTGTCAAGGCATCCACCTCCCCCGGCACCATCCCAGTGCCAATTCCCACTGCAACCCTTCCAGTACCGCTCTGGCACGCCTGTCAATGTGGGAAACAGCACTGAGAACAGCGTGTGGGGAGTGTGACTCAGCCCTGAACATAGAGATGATACAAACCCCAGGCACTTCAGACAATACAGCTGCTAACCAACCAAACAAAAAACACTCAACTATTTAGTGAAATGGGCATTCATTGTAGTATTTGTAAATATTAAGATCTTAACTGTGTTTATTCTTACTACAGTTCCTTTTATTACTGTTGGAATATACTCTTAATGTGACTCAGGAGTATCCAGCCAGATATCACAACTCTCCATGCTGTTACAATATGCACTTCTTATGAATGCCATTAGATTAAAAAAAAAAAAAAAAAGCAAAATGGAAATTTCTCTTTGCAAGTTAAAATACTAGATTTTTAACATCTTAGAAATGAACTCAACATTCATTTGAGTTCATTGGGCGGGAGAGGAAGGGAACCTAAAAGCACTAATTTTGCATAACAACAATAAATAAGTGGGTGATCATCTAAGAGTGATCATTAGGATCACAATAATGTTTTTCCCTGCCTTACATGTTAGTCTGCTGTTGGTATAGAGAACTAGCACTTGTAAATGTTGCTGAAATTAGTATGTGCAGGCTCACTGGATATGGTTTCTTTTAATCAAGTCATACATTTAAATATTCTGTAGGTCTGTTTACATCATCATGCATGAATATCCAGTGGTAAAATACACTTCAACCAGAAAATAAAAATAATTATTGTTTTCTATGTAAGCCACTGTCAAGTAGACCTCATGCCATCTATCAGCATCCACCATGTTTAGATACCACACAGATACACAAACTTTATATAATTTATGAGAGAACTTCCCGTCCCCCTCATACACACGGATCTTGGCATTCACTGACAATGATAAACATATCGCACTCACATGTCTTCGACCGTGATATCTTTCAGGATCTGGCAGTAATCCACGTTCCACACTGCCTGGTCATCCCAAACTTTGGATGCCAGTAGAATTGCACCCAGTACAATTCGCTTCCAGTTTGCTGGACAAATATCTATCTCTGCATAAGTTAAAAGTCTTTCAAGATATACCTGTGGAAACACATTAAAATGAACACTTAATCTATTTTGCTATTAAGTAGAAATGAAAAAGAAAAGTATTCTCATAAGCCCATTCCAGCAATTTTAAAACAGTAATCTGCTCTCAAGATTCTTTTATAAAAGCTGTAGGTTTAAACACATACCTTCATGCCAAGCTTGAGACTGGATGTGATAAATTCATATTGTATTTGGCCTTTGCCTTCTGATCATATTACCAGAAACAAAACTGTTAATTTTTTGTCTGTTGCTAACATAGTCACATGTTGAAATGAATGCAAATGATAGCTTATATAAATTAATAAAATAATAATGTAAATAAATAAAATGGTAAGGATTTGAGGGGAACAGGTAAGGGGGAGGATAGGGAGGAAACTTCAAAAACCAGAACAGCTCATCTGTGGTTTTCCATAAGGATCTGCACTCCTACAAGCAAACTGAGTTCCTTCAGTGATATGTGCTTCTTGAAAGGTCCAGCATTAGAAGAAAATATTATTCAATTAATAATAAAATAATAATTAATATTTTGAAGCTCATTTATTTTTGAGTCCACAATAACATTAAGGCCAATTCCATCCTTCATATAGTTTTGCTCATTAATTTTCACAATTATGATATGTACAAGTAATTAGAGCTTGGCAACAAGATCATCAAAAGCAGTAGACAGCTGTTGTATAATTTAAAATTTTACAGAAAAACTATATTTTATGAAAAAATATTAAGTATCTGAATAAATGTACACAAATATTCAGCTCGCAAAATGAGCTGTCTCACGCACTCGGCGGTATAAATAGCATACCGAGCAAGAAAATCATGGGCAAAAATACAAAACACAATATTAGACCACTTCCATTCAAAGTGGCCATCACAAAGTATAAGTTCTTTCCTCTTACTAAAGGAAAATGAAGCTTGAGTTACAGTGTCTGTAATGGTCACTAACACAGTCATATTACAATGAATTAATGTGTAAAAAGTATACAACTTTCTCTCCTCCAGAAATCGCTTCTTCCAAGTAACAGATTTCTCAGTCCACTGTGAGGTTGTTGCAAACAGGTTTCACTTCTGGCAATGATTTAAGGAAAATGAGATGTGGTAATTTTTTAAGTTAGTAAATTCTGCTCTGGTTTGGAAGCAAACTGTTGTTACTGCCTTCCCTAGCACTGAGGAAGTGAACCTGTTTTGCAGTTTCATTTCTCACCCCTGGAAGTGCTAGCTGTGCATGAGGGAGCAGAAATTGAAACTGGAAGTGCTTCAACAGGACAACATAGACACATTTACTGAAACCAACAACTAAGCCTGATAAGCTACTCTCTAAAAATACAGGTTTGCATTTGCTGAAGAATAACCTATTCTTTGTACCTTGTAATAGATCTTATAATAGCCTCTTCACTGCATTGTGATAAAAAGCAATTAGGTTGTTATTTAGGTTGCTAGTACCCTTACAAGAGTCTACATTGACTGACAGAAACTAGCAGGAGATTTTATGAGATGCTCTAATGAAAGTACAATATACATGCAAAATATCATACCTACCTCAAAGGCTACATATTTTATAAAAATGCAACACTGCTTGGCATTCTAAAGGACCAGCATTTTGTTTTAAATTTTACATACCTAAAGATATTCTGCTACAGATGCTGAAGGAAATTTACCTCTGCTCAAACAGAAGAAACACATGGCCACTAAGAAAACTGAAAATATTCCTTTAAGATACATATGTTTTAAAATAATGTTGGAAGTTTTTTACTTACCACTTTAAAACATTTTTAAAGGGATTATGACTCATTTATAGATTATTGCTAAAACCCACAAAACAGAAAAATCTTTATCCCATGTTTTGGGGATTTCTACATTCAAATAAATACTGGACTAACTTTAAACAAGTCACAACAACTAACTTATAAAAGGACTAAACATACAAAATGTTAGATGCACAGAAATCTTATTTGGAAAAGCATCATCTCATTGATACTACCAATGCCAAAACAGTTTTAATGAATTTTTGAAATCACAGAATACTCAGAAAATCTGAATAGTTTTAGTGTATTGGATATTACAGACTGGTCAAATTTTAAAAAAAGTCTCAGTAAAAGACCTTTGGCTTTCTCACTCTCTAAAGGGTTCTTTATTTTCCTTGTGTTAATAAGGAATTAACCTTAATCTTGTTTTAGACACTTTGTTGAACTTAATCTACGTCATCAGGCACAAAAAGACAGGCATCATAAACATCCAAAAATCTCTGTGAAAACAAGGGTATACTCAGCTATAAAGTCAGAATATTTACAGCATGAGACCTCACAGACAAAACTGTTGGTTTTTCAGGTTTTTGTCTTAAAAAAATAAGAAATGTATTGGTAGCAAGCTGAATTTTTCAAGAGGCCAGGTGACAGACTCCTGAATATACCATTTCTTCTTTAGCTATGATTTGGCCCTGCCTGCCATTCTAACACTGAAGGAAACCATAACGTTATCTTGTAATACTTGAAACCAAAATATCACTACTTGTTCAGAATTTTATTTTCCTTCAGAAGGAAGGCAAAATGCTATTCAAGTACAAAATTCTAAATTCAAATTATGTTTCAAGCCCATTATTAAAAGCAGAGTTATGACTTTTTAGTTAGAACATGACTCTGAAAAGATTTTGATGTATAAAATCTAGTGTTGGGAGTTTTGCCTATGAAGGTTTTCCAAGTGGTGTACAAGTCCAAAATAAACAGCAAAGTTTAAACACTTTGAGAAACAAAAACTAAGTCCCTAAAAATAAGCAATGGGCCACTCCAAAGCAAGGGCTGAAAACAGACACTGAAAGAAATGTAAGCAGGTGAGGTGAGCACAGTGGTGATGACTCAAAAGACTCACCTCACCTCTGAGTGGTCCAATAACACTTAAAAAACACAGAAACACAAAACTCAGTGAGAAGGTGGCACATGGATCTCACCAGAGATTGCACAGACTCTGAACATGGCTCTGTTTAAAAGGCTGTCCTTCGCTTTCCAGGCAGCCTGTGCAAACAAACCTCTCACACACTGTATTGCACAAACTTGTTCAACTTAGCGAGCAAAACCACTCCCTGAATTATGAACAAACAGCACTCCCTGGAATTGTCCGCGGGAAGCAGAAAGCAACACACCATGTAGGGGACCTTCATAGGCAGAAAGCCTACGGAAGCCACAATATCATGTTGTTCTTAAATTAGGAAATTAATTTCATTTGCTTTATATCAGTACTGAATTTGACCCTTCACTATTAAAGCAACTGTCTTAAAATTAAACTTCCCACACACAGTTTTAGTAGATTTTGAATGAATACTCCATATCTGTAGATGCAGAAAGCATACAAAAATCAAAAAATGGTATCCTTTACATATGTGCAGCTCCAGTTTAGAAAGACAAAAAAAAAAAAAAGAACATAAAGGAAGGGTCCTGTTGTGGGCTCAAATTCCAAGGCATTCAGAGAAAAAAAAATGTAAACTGGTAAGAACAGACAATGACGACACGGCAAGGAAAGACAAAGGAGAATAATTCATAACAGATGAATTACACCTTGAGCAGATGATCTCACACGTAAGTAAAAAGAGAGCATAAACTTGCTGCTACCTTCCCACCAGAACATACTTGAGAAAACAGTTCTAAAAATTAAATAGGAGCTTAATAAAACACTATTTTTATATCACCTTCATTACCATATTTGAGCATCTTCCAATAGCATGTTGAAGGATACAAATAATTGCTCGAATCCTCAGTGATAACTTGGGCTTAATTCCAGGTACACAGTTTGCTGCAGTAAGACTCTGTGTCATCTTTTGATAAAACTGAAGATGATAAATACCTCACCAGGAGAAAGGTGCATAGTGTGGTTTCTGGCTCCTTTCCTGAAACTGTCTTAAAAGACAGCATTTTGTTTTCTTTTAATTGCTGTGGCATCCCTGCCTCAGTCTTGGGTTTTAAGTGTATATGTTCAAGTAAGAGAAGACAGAAAAAGAACAAGACTTCTCGCAGCAAACATTTGTAAAAGTTTATTGAGGTCTTCAGCTAATGTGAGAATTCACTGTAATCTAGGACTTGTCTCCCAAAGATAAGCCTATGCTGTTGTATTAGCGCAGTTCTTCAACTTCCAATCAAGACCACTCAGTTACACACAGGGTCCTCATTCTCCTCTCTGTGGCTCTGGTTTGGAGAGAATCAGGTGACTCTGCAGACAGTGAAAATTAGGCAGAGGGATGGCTGGTACATACTTGAGCTCTCACCCTACTGATATGTAGTATCCTCGTAACAGCAGTGAACGCACAGCCAAGTGAGCTCTGTCTCCCATGGAAATGTAAGAAATTTTGTTATTCTTGGCAAATGGAGCTGTTGGCCACTGTTTTTAATCTGAGCATTTCAATGCATTAGGCTCAGGCCACAGTAGCAGCCCAAGCACCAAGATTTTGACTTTGATGGAACATCAGAGTGAAAAGGAGAGGTAGAGTCTGCCGTGCGCCCAGCAGCCAACGCTGCTGAAGGGGGATGCTGCTGCCGAGATGTGCTGAATCAGTGCAGGCTTTTGGAGAAGGGCCAGGCGGCTCCCAGCCCGTCTGAAGAGGAAGGCTGGTGGGTGGTTAGACACTCCACTACTCATCCCAAACAAACTCAGCGCTGGTGGGAGAACACCACCTGCTAGTGCTGGCAAAAGCAAGCGAGTCTTCCCACATGCAGGCAGGCATGCTCCACCCCATTTAAAAACAAAAAAGTTGACCCTGTAGTGGTAAATCTGACATATGCAAATGCCATTTGCACACAATTATGTCTATACATTGAATAGTGTCTTAAACACAGGGGTCATTTTCTTAAGTATGAGTTTTGTATCAAACATTTGGGGTTCTGTGTGTACTATGCGGTTCAGTATATTCATGTGTTGTAATGATTTTCACTGGCTTAATTTTCAAAAGCAAAACACTTTCTACATTTTTTTCAGGACTAGCTGCTGTAAAGTCATATTAATAAAGCTGAATTTTA